GTTGAAATGCATCCACCAGAGCTGAGTTGAGCTGATGGAGTCAGCAAGAACGCTGCTGTCCCACTTGCTGTGTGAGTGTACTTGCAACCAAAAATTAGATTATTTAAAACATGTTGAAACAGAAGTGTGTTGTCCTTCAAACCAGATGATAACATCAAGGGAATCCTCTGTCAGTCAGATTAACTCATTGTGTAAAGTGGAGGGAGCATGTCCGCTCATGCATCTTATTAATCTGACTCTGCGCACTAGCATGTAAGAAGGAATATGAAACAGTAGCTTTATAAGCAAGCCACATGTGAAATGGCTTAAAGCAAATATTTAGATTCAGAATAAGGAAAATTCTCAGGTATAAATGGTAATAAAAAAATAAAATAAATTAAAACACTGAAGTAAAAATAAACAAGTATCGGCAGTGAAACAGGATGGAGGTGTGATGAAGAAGAGATGAGAGCAACAGATACCAAGTCACAAAGGAGGGAAGAAAAGGAGAAAGATGCAGAGAGAAAGGATAGAAATGATGCAGAACAAAAAGAACCTTTATAGAACTGAAGTGAAGGGAAATACATCAGCGAAGTGTTGAAAATAAGAGATACTACAGAGACAGCGAGAGATCACTCATCGACCTGATTGGCTCTCACCAGCGGACAACTCTTTGGTTGAATCAAACTCACCCGCAGGCTGGATAAGAGCCTCTTACAGCCTGCAGGACTGCTTGGTTTGCCGTCCCAGAGGAGGCAGGCGGGTGGGAACACCTGCCTAATCGCCCAAAGCAAGCGTGTGTGTGTGTGTGTGTGTGTGTGTGCGTGCATTTTTAAACTGGAGTGCTTTCAAAAACCGTTTCAAACCAACTCTTAAAGAGTAAGTAGGCTTAATCAGGAAAAAAAACAGCTGTCAGTAAATGTCCATTTGTAATGTTTTTAGAAAATATATTCTATATTACTCATTAATGAAATTCACTTTAAGAGCATCTTTGTGTGAAGGACAAACAGAACCTCATGATACCTCGGGTTGTGTTATCGCACTCAAATGCATGTTGCAGAGAAAACTGGAAGAATTTTTAAGAAAGTTTTAAGAAAGTAATAAAAATTATTCTATTTTTTTATTTTCCTGTTGTGGATCTGTTTGTTTTTTTTGCAGTATTTTGTTACACTAAAAATATATTACATTTAAATTTTGGATTTGGATTTCCAGAGAGTACTATTGATCAGCATATTTAATCATCCAGGAAATTAAATCAGTTTTAAGTGATTAGAGTCACTGTCCCAGACAACAAAGTCTAACCTATTAGTATTATCTGACATTAATGTGTTTTGTGTGTCGAATGCAGCGACCTGACTTAGTCTGTCTGATGTAAGAATCTGTCCACCGCTAAAGGAAAAATGGGAGCGAGACACTGGGAGAAAGAGGAGGACAGATTAAGAAGAACTCAGTAGTGAGAGACTGAGAAAGAAACTGGAGTGAAAGGGAGCCTGTGGTGGTGGTAGTGTTGGCGAACTTTCAGAAACAACAGAAAAACCACAAAGCACAAAGTTGGCTTTGTCTCCAAAACACCCCCTCCCTCCTTTCCTCCCCCCTTCATCCCCAGGGGCAAAATAACACAATAAAATGTCCCATTACCACATTCTGATGAGCGAGAGACATAGACACAGAAACTGGGAGAGAAAGAGAGGCTGGTCTGAGGTTTTGGCAGCTGGTTGGTGGTTTGGTGGTTTTTGTGGAGCAACGAGTGTTTTGAGCTCGGCCAGATCCTGACGTGTTGTTAGGAAACAGCTCGAGACGCTTAAACAGGCAGGGGGGGAAAAAAGAGTCCTGACGCTTTAAAGTTTTGTTTTTGGAGTTGGAGTTTCGGTCCTGCTTCCCTCTGTGATTTCACCAGATTGGGTTTGTCCAGACATGCATGTAAACACGGTTATCAGGGAGAAGAAAAAGCAGTCCGCTGATGCGTCTGTAGTTTATGTCTGAGTGAAAATTGCTTTCCTTTTCAAACTGAATTTACATTTGTCTTTCGGAAAATAAAATGCATAGAAAATGTCTCCGGCCAGCAATTGAGGCTCGGCTGCAGCAGTAGTTTGCACGTTGTTACCAAATAACAATGTGTAAATTTCCTGCACGCTGCTCTGACACAGACTCCGGTTTTGTCCCAGATGGAGAAATGTATGAAAATGTAAATGATGCTGCACACGGCTGAAGCACTTTGCAGGGGCTGAAAAGTAGCACAATACATGTTGTTGGTAACGTTTTCTTGATTTTGCATAAACAAATGCTCTTATATACCAGTATTGTTCCAATCTATATGCATTTTCTGAAAGCTTGTCTTTGTTTTTGTTCTAAATACTTGCTGTTTGTGTGGGTTGTCTCTCTTGTTATTTGAATTACATTTCTGGTTAGTTAAGGGGGAAGACTGTCAGGAAAATTTTTCTACTGAATGATGATTATGATTTTCTAAAGGCCTCAGTATGCTTCAAATGAGCTAGTTTGTAAGTCTGAGCCAGTCTGAAGGAAGGGGGGAGGAAAAGACTGCTGTCTTCTCTTGGTACAAAAGAGGATAGCGATGCACATGTTCAGTCTTTGCTCAGAGGCGTTCATAGTGTTTCGCTCGGTTGTACAGACAAAATATGACCTGGCCAATCATTGCATAAAGTGGACGTGATTATCAGATTTTCTATTTCAGCTTATAAATTACAAAAACTGTAAAACTATAGCGTAGCAAATTGGGAGAAGCTTTTTTGGGTGTTCCTGGTTGTGGAAGTGAAAGTCTCATTCATTTTTCCTGAAGACTCACAGTTGGATCTCTTCCATAGTTTGGACCAGCGTGAAGCTTTGTTCAATCAACAGTTCAAAATATTAACAACTACGTTAGAAAATACCTGGTTCTTATATACAAACTTGTGTACAAATAATTTGGGCGGGGAGAAGTTAACTAAAGGACTCCAAAGGTGCATTTAGTCAAGAAAACATCAAATCGCCAAGCTTAAAATTCTGTCAGGGAAGCTAAAGATGATGCTGTTTAGAAAACTGATTGTATAATCTGCAGATAAAGAAACTCACTTTAAATTTTGGGGTAAATTTTGAGTGAATTCAGAATTTATGCAACCGCTACAACAAAGTGTTTTGAATTTGCTACCTGACAGCTCATGGGTATTATACTGTTTGACTTTGTATTGTATTGTTTTCTTATTTCTGGAAAAGAAGCTGGAAGTTCCAGTTTCACTTTGATTCTTTTTAAAGTTATGTAATTTTTTCCCGTGAAAACATTTGAAAACTCATCTTATTGCAAACATAACCAGCGTAACTTTACCATCAGACGCATCACAAAAGATTTGCTTCTAAAACATAAAAACTAACAGCGCCCTCTTTTCTCCTTCATGCCTCACTTTCTCTTCTTACCTTTCCTCTCCTCTTTCCTCTTCTTAATATCTCTCCTTTCCATTCCTCATTGGTTTTTTTCTCTCCCCTGTACTCTTCTCCTCCTCCCCCCTCTCCTCTCCTCTCCTCTCCTCGTGTAGACAGAGGATGTAATCAGCTCAGACCTGCTGACTCTGCAGCTTCCCACCTCAGGACCAATATCTACCTGTCCTTGAAAACACACACTTCAATTATACTACACTTTAGATTGGTTAAAACACACACACACTATCCCTTCTCTATATTACTCTTTCCCACTTTTGTATTATTTCTATTCTTTCAGATTCTCTCCCCTTTTTTTTGCTGTTCCTCATTCTCCCACTGCCTCTCATTCTTTTGTTATGGTCTCTCCCAGTTTTTACTCCTTTTTTTCCCCCCTATCCTCCTTTCTCTGACTCTACACATGCTCTCTCATCAAATTTACTTTTTATTTCTCTTTATTCCTACCATCTCTCTCTTCTCTCTTTCCCTCTAATCCTCCCCTCTCTCTTGCTTGACCACCTCCGTCCTCTCTTGCTTGCCCAGGTTCTGGTATGAGAGATGGAGGAATGATGGAGGGATAGTTGTTGAATAACGGGTGCTTCAAACCCATTGCAGTCAATAGAAAGAGGTGACATCCATTGTTCATAACAGGACGTTTGAGCAGTGTGATGGCCGCCTATAAGTTCTTGGTCACATCAGATAATGGTACTGCAAATAAACAGGCCAGTGACAGAGTAACTATCCAGTTCAATTTTTTTATATAGCGCCAGTTCATAACCGAAGTTAACATATTACACTTTTTATAGAGCAGGTCGAGACCTTATTCTTTGTTTTTTATATATATGAGGCCCAACTATCCCACCATGAGCAAGCAGTTGGCGAGAGAGAGAGACACAGCGAGAAGCAGACAAATGCAACCTCTGAAATATGTAGCATTTGTAAGGCGGCTAAATACATAACATAAACAAAACAACAGTAAAGATGGTAGTGGTAAAGACGTCACTGAAAATGACTAATAGTACTAATAATTATAGCAATATTAACGATAATAATAGGACTAATAATAATTGTAGCAGCGGATGTCGAGCAGGAACACGGGGGCAGCAGGTGGCCATCTGCAGATCCAGACCCCACAGCTCCGGAGCCAGAAACAGCTGCAGAAAGTGACACGAGGAGAGAGGAGAGGGGCGAGAAAGCACAAGGCTACTACAGAGGGAGAGGAGGAGAGAGGGAAGTCTCCCGACAGTCTAGGCGTATAGCAGGATAACTAAGGGATGGTTCTAGGTGAGCTGAAGAATTTAAATTTTATTCTGGATTTTACAAGGAGGAGAAGCTAAAACAGGAGAAATATTTTCCTGGTTCTTTACAGTACACGTTCCGCAGCATTCTGGATCAGCTGGAGAGTCTTACGGAACATACTTAACTAGTTTTACTTTATTCATGCAACCCACTCCTCTCTCCTAACTGTCAGCAGAGCATGCTGAGTATTCGTTATACCTTGGCAGCAGCATTAGTTCACCTGATTTCTGATCTTAGTCTTTTGATGAAAATGGATAAACAGTTTTAGTCAAATTGTAGTAATTTGTCTTATTTGTGTTTATTTTCTGTTTCAGTGGGATTGTAGAGGACAGGAGGTATTTTTGGGCTGAGGATGACAGTGTTTTACCAGTCAGGTAAAACCCAGTTGATTAGTTATTTCCCTTTGTCTTACACATGATTGTTTACCGTTATGTTTACTGTCTTCATTTTTAAAGGTTACATTTGTCAGTGAGTATTTAAATAGTCCAAAAAGATCAAAAGATCAGTACTACAGAGAAGGGTTACAGAAAACTGGATGGTGTGACAAGACATCTCCCTCCATTTTGGATTCTCCACTTGTCTCTGTAAAGATCATCTCTGTCTGCTTTTGGTCACTGATACATATTCACATGTCAAAGTTCTACATTGAGCTCTACATCAAAGCTCTGCAGCCAAATACACTGATCGCAGCATTGAACTAACTTCAGCTGCTGTTGTCACCGAGCCAAATATCAATCTTCTAAGTCATTTCTACTTACATTATAATTTTTAAGAAAAGTGGCAAAATTGTGATGTATTTTTATATATGCAAAAAGATGTAAGATATGTTATTTTCCTTTTAAAAACACTTTACAGGGAATTTAAAGATGACCTTAACATCATAAAAATAATCAAACATAATACAAGTTGGAATTTTTATCTACAGATCGGAACCTCTGTCGTGTGTGTGTGTGTGTGTGTGTGTGTGTGTGTGTCCAGCAGTTAAACCAGGTGCTGTAAAATGTAGATTAGCCAGATGCTCATATTGTTGCTTCAGTCCCAAGAGGAATTATTTGGATATTAATGTGTGTGTGTGTGTCCAGTTGCCAGGACAGGTGTTGTAGCATGATGCTGATCTGCTGCTCTTGTTGTTGCTCTCTCCCAGCCTGTGCATGCGTGTTGATAATGTCACATTATGTTTATTGATGCATGTGTGTTTTCTTTGTTGATCTTTCAGTTTTTTCATCTCCTCTCCTCTGCTCTCATTACCTCCTCTCGTCTCCTGTTTGCCCCCGGTGCGGTCACCTGTTTTGCCCCTGTAGGCAAGATGGAGACCTGCGGGTGAAATTACTATTGATTATTCTCTGTCAGACAGAGAGGAGGGGGAGGAGGTGAAGAATGGGGAGGACGAGGAGGGACACATCAGTCGGGGATAAGTGATGCATTAGAGAAAACACTGAAAATAATAAAAACGTCCTCACACCTAAACGACATAATAAGTCAATTGTCACAGAATGACACACATGACCGTGGTTAGGTTTAGGCAACAAAACTACTTGAGTCTGCTTTTAGTTTTGCTTTTGTGTGTATATTCTACATTCATACTTTAATGGGCTGTATGTAGTTTTTCAAAGAAATCACTTAATTAATAAATCAAATTTTCACTTCCTTATTGCCAATGGGCTTTAACTTCACTTAGAAATTATGCACACGTTTTCTCTGTAGCTTGGAACGGCCACTATTCTGCTTCTAATGTGAAGGCACCGGGTCGCTATCGACCGCTCGCCGACTATAGCAACAACACCGCAGATAATGAGTCCACTGACACCAGAAAACAACCGGTTCCGAGCGCAACACAAACTCCAACATAAACTCCACGAAAGATACAAAACAACAATCCAGTTTTATGCGCTGAAGCCCATCAGACCAAAGAGAATCGGATGATGTCGGTGAAATCGGCCAACATCAGAAAGGTTTTGGGAAACACGGAGAGACTCACATTAGCTAACGTTATCCGGTGCAATATATAATATCTAACATTATGGCTTTCCATATTACTTCACCAGCAGGAAAATGTCACGTTATCATGTAACGAGCATGGATTAGTTCAACCTCACCTGATACAAATGTTACTGTAATGTTGCAGTGGGAGTTTACCTGAGTTTCCAGCATGTTGTGTGAAGCTGTCTCCCTGTCTGTGTATAGCTGCTGACACGCACACATGCGGCTCACTTCGCTGTATGAGCCGGAAACACTGACGTAACAGAGCCACAGCCGGGCAAGCCGGTGTTTCCGCGTTTATTGTGGGATCTCAGTGTTAAAGTGGTTGTGGTTTAGATTATGCTCGCTCATCAGTTCAAGGGAGCACGCGTACAAGCACACACCTGGTTGCAATCTTAGAACAGCACAGCTAGTGGCTGCTGAAAACTACATAATGCCCCTTTAACTGACCAAAGGTAAACTAAACGTTGCCTAACCCTTCTTTCGGTCTTTCATACCTCCAACCTCTCTCTCTCTTCTTTCCTCTAAACCTCTGTCTCTCTCGTCCTTTCTCCTGAATCATAAACTGTGTGTGTGTGTGCAGTATAAAGTAAAATGGTATGCTATCTCAGCCTGTGTGTGTGCGTGAATGGCGACACGCTGAGTGCTACATGGTGACATTTGGGAAAAGACTGGACCTCATGCTGATCAGAGACTCTTCAAGAGTGCTCTTCAAAGAGCTGTCAGACACGCACAGATATTACTCACCCACCCACACAGACACACAGATATTACCCACACAGGCTTAAGATAAGCCTGTTGGATGAATGACATTCTTACCAGGCTTATTGTTGGTTTGAATAATCAGTTCATCTGGTTACAGTTATACTCATGTGTGTATGTACGTACTGAAAATAATTTGACTATATTTATACCCTTTAATTATTATATTTAATGCAAAAAAATATAAGTAAAGGATATAAATATAGTGAAATAAATTTTCTGTATTTCTTTAAGTATGTTTTCCAGTTTCTTTACCTAAACAGAAAACAACTGTTGTTGTTGCTGCTGCTCCATGATGAATCTGCTGCGTGTAATTTCATGCACATGTCCTCTGGTTATTGATGTCTGTACTTATTCACCCACTTGACTTCTGCCCTACACACACACACACACACACACACACACACACACACACACACACACACACACACACACACACACACACACACACACAGAGCAGAGGCAGCGCTGTGAATCCTTATTATGTCCCTGTGACCTTACTTGAGACACCCGGACGCCGCCTCATCGTCACACAGTGAATTCCAATAAAGTTTGAATTTATTCAAACTCTGCAGTGTTTCCTCCTTTAGTTTGTTTGTCCTGCAGCTGTGACATTTGAACTTCGGTGGCTTTAAATAACAACATAGGCCCGTAAAAGTCAGTCTCACTGCTCTAACAAGACAGCTGTGGTAACATTTGTTACGAGAGAAAACTACAACAGAAATCAAACCAAAATAAAAACCCAAGTAACCAAAAATGTCATTAATTTAATTGATTATGGTCATCTGACACTTGCCAACCAAACCTGTTTATTTACTTGAGCTGTACCTTACAGGTGGCAAATAAGTTCATAAGGCTTGACTTTGTTATTGAAGGAGAGTACTGGATGGAATAATGTAAGGCACTGAAAGTGTCCTTTCTGTGTTTTCAAGGAAAGGCAGAGTAATCTGCCTCCAGTTACTGTAAAACTTCAGTTAATACCCCGGGCTTTTATTTGCATTCTCACTGTATCCACCCTGCCTATATTTGGCACAGGCCTTTTAATTCCTTTCCCAAAAAGCTCTTGCTCAGCAAAGATGAGGAATAGGCCACCAGCAGATTTCAGAATTTCAACCAGTATGAATATTTGTATACATTTTTTTTCATCTCTCTTGTTTACCATGCCAGTAAATCTGAATTGTTTTCTGTAAAATGAACTAAATTATTGAATTGTGGAGAATATAGCTGAGCTAATAATGTGCAGCATGTCCATAGTGACAAAAGTCATGCCAGTAACGGACAGGCATCTGACTTGGAATACGCTACGATATGTAGCTATAGGATAAACTAGCCCTTGATCCTTCCTTGTGTTAACTCTGGTGAATAACTATCTTGTATCTTTTTAAATTGTTCTTGACCAGTTAATTGCCTTCACAATCCATCGCCTTTCAGAGCTAAGAAAGTTTAGAACCATACTGCTATGCAAATTATCATATGAATGTTGAAAATGTTTGAATTGTAGTGCAGAGGATCTGTTTAGGGGGTGAGAAAAGAAACGTTTGATAAATAGAAGTCAACCTACTACAACTTCTGCAACCAATGCAGACAGGGGTGTTTTGGGTAACAGTAGGTCAAAGACTCGCAGAGGAGTCGAAACACATGCGAGTTTTCTTATATTAAAGATCAAAACCCTTTTTGGAAATATGGTAAAATTTCTTCAACTTCGCCCAAAGTAAAACAAAGTAACTGGAGGACAACTTGGTTTGATGACTTGTTCCCAAAACTCAAATAAACAAGCTGACTCTTGTACAAACTTGCTTGTAATTGTTCAGTTTTACATAAACAGATCACCACCAATCAATCAAAAGATGAAATCAAACCGTTAGGAGACTTTTGTTTAAACTCTGCAGAGAAACGTCTAGTTGGAAAAAGAAATCCGACACATTTAACAAGACTTCCTGGTCCGTGCGTTGTCAGTATTTCTGCAGAGAACATCAGATGATCCGAACTCATCTCATGAATAAAATATTAAATGTTTTTGAGCTCAGACAGAAGCTTCCTAATTTCCAGCTGATGTTTCCATTTTCTGTCTTAAAAACTGCGTTACGTGCAAGATTAAGATTCAGGATTCAACACTGTAGCAGCCTTTCGTGCAAGCAGTGAAACACAGAAATGTAAATTTGTCTTTGGGGTATCACCGTCGCTGCTGGGTGAAAACCTTTTATCTCCAAAAGAAATCTTTTCAGGAATTAAAAGAAACAGGCTTGTATTTGATCAGATTTTAGGAGTTTGAGCTACTTAAACCTGAGTAACAAATTATTAAAAAGATTAATTACAAATATTTTCACGATGGGGCTTTGACCGTTTCTGTCTGACTCTGGGATATTATGCAGGGTGTGTGTGTGTGAGGTCAGTGTGGCGGGGGGAAGGTGACGCTCTGAGCTTTGTAGTGGAACAAATTGAAAGCCAAGCTAGTATCAATCACTGTGAAGCCATACTTAATTGTCCCGGACACACACAGAGGGAAAAAAACAGTTTGGTAATTAATTCTTTAACACGAGGAGAAGAGAAGAGTGAGAGAGAAGAGAAGAAACGGTCAGTTTACAGAAGAACAGAGGGAGAGAACAGGCTGAGAGAGTGACAGGGAGGGAAG